TAATGTTTTATAATCAATAAACTCAGCAGTATTTTGTCTTGAAAAATAAGCGGTATATACAAAAAAACCAAAGTATTTCCTCAAACAGCTTTCTTAAGTTTCATTTTTATTATTGCACAAACATACTGAGAATTTAAACTCCAGCGGTTATTATTGCCCAATGAACTTTAAAGTTTTGACCCCAAACACTGCAGTTTCTTTATTTTCCGCTTTGGATCAGCGTAATGTATTTTGTTTTATGATATAACACCGATATATCAGTGTCAGGCTAAGGAAAAGGAGGTAAAGAAGGTAAGCATTTCTTCGTTAGACGGCCTTTTCTAGAAATGAAAACAGCATACTTTAGTGCAAACAAACAATATAAATCCTAGCATTTCGACAAAAATGTTTCATATAGGCGTATAGGCAGCTATCATTATTTTTAAACAGTTGTTTTCCAATTGTTCAAATAGCAATCAAATTTGGAGAAATCTTATGAGAAAATTATGCTACAATATCTATTGCAGGATCGTGAATTTAGTTTGGAAATAGAAAAAAGATGTTTTTTTTCTTCGGCAAGTGACTTCATGATGCTGCAAGGGAAGAGACACAACTTTAGAAGTATATTTCTGTGAATCATGGAGTTTCTTTCTGTGAGACCCAAGAAATTACTTAGAAGAAATGGGTCAGAATTATTTGATGTGTTAAATGAAGAACAATGTCTGGTACAAAGGCTCAGATGAAATACAAACATTTTAACACGATAAATTACTGTTAAAGTTCTGTGCGCATCGAAATGAAGCTTTTAGTTTAACCTGAGTTGCATACCGCTTTACGTTGATTACCATTGATTTTCCTTTTTATTTCTTTCACATAAAGTACTGCTTAAAAGCATAACACTTAAGGATATGGTGATTTATTCAAAACAAAACCATACCATCATCATTTTTTCGATCATTTAAGGGTAAGTTCATGAGACAGGGAAATACATTTTCATCATAAACATGATTTTGTATTAGATTAGTACGTAGACATGCCTGGATAATGCAATAATAAAAATGAGTAATCCGAGAAATGTAAAAGGGTTTGCGAGTTACATTTCGAACAATCTGATGACGTACTTTCTTCCTAATAAGCTTTTTATATGAATGGTAAAAAGAGAGTAGGTTAGTAAATATAAATTTCATCACTACATAATCTACATTGGTGTACACTAATATACACATGTAATCACATGTACCTACAATGGGAAAAGTAAACCAACTGTGAAGTAGGAGACTGTGGAATGTATCCCCAAATAGCTGCATTTTAAAAGTCCGACGAATACGGGAAGAAGACAGGTACTATTGTCTACAAGCACATAGGTTATTGAAAAAAAATTCAGGAGTGACCTAGAAACAGTCTTTTACCATTGTAAAGGAGCCATTTCAACTAGATACCCAGATTTTTCGACCTTCCAAATCAGTTCGCTTTACCTCAAATCTTCCTCGATAATTTTTATCTCGAGGTTGGTGTGAAAATATATTGTTTATTTTAATCATCTTTTATGACCTTAGTTAAGTAGGAATACACTACTTTTTTTATCTGTCATGAAAAATGGCCAGACTGTTTGAAATGTATTGCACAAGTTTGTCGCATTTCTCAGATAAATGCCTTTCTTCTCATTATAATATAAGAATTCCTCAAACGGACTAGCTGTTGCAACGGCATATCTAAAGAGCACTTCGAATTTCGTAGTGGGTAAGACATGACAATAATCTGGTTAGTTTATCACCTTGTTATCTGGTTTTAACAGCCACTGATAGATTTCTGTAAAGAAATAGTGTATATGCTCACATTTATACTGAGGCGTGAAAGATCATTCACATCACACCCAGTGATGTTCTACAACCGGTAAGTTTTTGTCTACTAGGAAGTAAAATTAATACTTTTTAAATTGGTCATCATTGATATTTATTTGGCTAAAATATCTTGTTTTCCATCTGAATTTAAACTGGAATGTTACACACTGAATAGATTATTCACATTTTGTTTTGAAAGGCTAACATCTGAAAGAAGAACTTCTCTGCCATTAAAATATCACATGAATGTTTTCATATTAACAAGGATAGAAACCACAAAGTTTATACAAATAGTAGACGGTAAATGTATTCAGATGTAAACACCTAAACCACTTCAATCGAACGAGTTTGGTGAACTATTTTGAAGATTTTGTAGATTCGAAATTTTTTAAGCAATAAAAAACTTGAAAAGTAATGTGAACATGTTGGGACTTTGATGACAAATAAAGTTATTCTGTGATAAACTCTTTTATCTATCAGTTTTCACTCTGTTTACATATCATGTTCAAAGTTGTACAGTGGATAAATATATTTATCAGAAAGTTAATTAACTTATCTTGCTGTAGAAGGGGAAAACGTTATCCAAGGATTTTCAAGAAAAAATTCCTGGTCAGTGAGTGTTCATGTTTTAACTTCCCTAAGCGAATTTTATAAAAGGACAACTTAAAGCTAATAAGTATAATAATCTGAAGCAATGTCTTGTTAAAAATGTGTTCTGAAACGGTGTATTATTATCTTGGGATTCATCAAACGAATAATAATGTCATAGAGAAGAGATAATTCAGCGAAGAAAATTTTCTTTTTCGTCGATATCATTTTTTAAAGCTGTACCATCGTATTTATGTCCATCATAAGCATAAAAAGGTCTATTATAAAACAATGGGGAATAATTACATCATTAACTTAGTGCTAAAAAACCGGAATCAAGAATGCGAAGTAGTTGCTTAGCGCTAGGTTAATGATGTAATTATACCCTATTGTTTTATAATAGACTTTTATTTGTTTATGATAGATATAAATACGATTGTACAGCTTTAAAAAGTGATATCGTCGAAAAAGAAAATTTTCTTCGCTGAATTATCTCTTCTCTATGACTCAGTGGGCATATTTCGTAGTCTAATAATAATGTATTTGCTTTGTTGTGAACCATAATTTTATTTACAGTACAGAGTTCTTTTAGGATTTGAATTTGCATCAGTTTACCCCCTGTACAACCATTTTTTCATATATATATATACTATTCTATACATAATAAAGAATTACAACACTATTGAAATGTTTAGCGAATTCAAAGACGTGATAACCATCCGCTATTGCAATCTTGATTGATAAGACTATGACTAACACGATTTCCTTGACACAATGCACAAGCGAAATAAGGCATGAATGAATTTTCATATATACTTGTACGTGCATAAAGCTCATTATATTCTTGTCTCCCTAGAAGACAGACATGGAAAAAGGTGTGGATTCAGAGGATGCTTTTCATCATGTATAAGTTCTCAGATGCCTGACTATAGCATCGTTTTTCAGGACAATAAGTGCCGTACCACTTGCTTCAAAAGCCTACATAGCACAAGGTATTCTTTTCTCTGAAGTCCAGGGAAGAATAAGAGGGAACGATAAGTAGGTATAGGCGAAACAGAAATAATGAAACTTAAGATTACAGGCTGAAGTACGCCAGACGATCTGAGTTTTATTATTTGAATGTTAAGCGAAGAATTTTTGTGGAAATCAGTAAGGTTTTAGGAGACCAAGAAGGATGAGAAGAAAGGCATAAGCTGAGATGGATCACTTTGATTCCTCCTCTGTAAGACATAAGCATGGGAGCGAAACACGTTACATATGCCTTGTTTATATCTTAGGATAACATTAACCATCTGACATTTGGGGGGATTGAGTATGAGACCACTTAAGGAAGATCAGTGACGGATTTCAGTCAGGAACTTATTGAACTGAGAAAAATCTGAAGAGGAAGTGATCAGTGTGTATGCTTGCAGTTCATTTGCGTATTTAACAAAGCCTCACACACTGCCTTTACCAAATAGCACAGTACAGCACTCCCCTCTATGTAGAGTGTACTAAGTTCTCTCAGAAAAACAAGAATGAAGTCAGTTCGTGATCCAGGATTCAATGTTAGTTCACGCAACTTTGTTCACTAACAAGGTTCTATGAGAAGAATACAAGCCAGAAGTATAGTCTAAGAAGTCAGATCTAACATAGCGCCCTTATCCAGATTGCCAGTGATTTTATGATGCAGAATAACTGCATCATTCCAGCTTCTCTTTCTAGGTTTGTAAGCAAATCGATTTGGATCTCTAGTGGCTTACATAAGAATATTCAAGCATATGAAGCAACTGTTTTTCCATTACTTTTGGGAATGATCAAATTAATACGATCATTAGTCAGGATTTCCCTTTGGCTCCAGATGATGTGAACTCAGGTGCTGAAACTATTTGAATTTCCTTTCATGTGGTTGGTGCATCATTCCTAGCAAGGGATCCATTAAAATGTTTGTGAGTAGACGACATAAATATCAACACATTTGACAAATAAAATACCTGGTATGCCATCTGATCTGAAACATTGAGAGGGCTTTAATGATTCTAATGTTTTTTATACGTCAGATCTCTTGAAAAGTGTCCATACCAGTTTGCTTTGCATACAGACTATCGTTCGATGAATGAAGACAACATTATGCCACATTCAGCATATTGCCTACCTAATTTTCTTTACTGATGAAGGTACCTAACCTGAACAAATATTCCATAGAGCTCTGTTCATATATGTGTTACTGAGGTACATTGGCATTAACGTCTTTTTGGTTACAATGAGGTTGTTGAAATTTCACAAACTTGCAAACAGTTAGCATAATTCTCTAACAATTTCTTTCAAGATCGTTCGAAATGTCTAATTTTTGCCAAATACTTTCGTGTATGAAAATCAAAGTTTGGCAGTAGTCAACCTGTGATTTACTAGTTTCCTCTGAAATCAATTTTATAGAGATTTAGTTTGCTTCGATTTACCAAGAAAAGTATGAAAACAATTTTCGAAAAAAGGGAAAATTTTCTAATAGATTTGCGAAATGTCGATAAATTTCGTTTGTTATTTCATGGCGTAGTAATGAAGCAACTGTAAAACTTCATGATTCTTATTTTTTTTGCATATTTTCTTATTCAGAAATCCTACTGGTTACGATTAATATCCGGTAATTCTAAGCGAACAATAATTCAACGTCCAAGGTGGAAGAACTGTTAACACATGCTGCTATGGAGATTCATGAAGGTCGTCGTTTGACCCTCAAGTGTAAAGTCCAGGTGAAACTAATCCACAGATTAAGTGGTTTAAAGATGACAAGCCAATAGATATGTCAGTTCATCCAAACATTAAAATAACATCTTCCACGTAAGTAAAGAAAATCTAGCGATGTTGTAAACTTTAGAGTTTTGAATAATGTGGTTTCAGTTTGCAAATTTCTTCTCTTGACATAACTAGAGTTTTTTCAATTTTTAAAGTTAATAAGGAGTATTAAAAAAGCATGAAAAATATATGGATTTTCTCATGCAAAGAGTAATCACTGTTCATAATTCGACTTTAATAGGAGGTTATACGACCTAATCGAAAGTGTCTTTATCATATGAAAACGGTGATACATTTTCTATCCAACTACTTTTTATTGATTTTCTAATTGGAAAAAATAACTTCGTTGAGCATTCTAAGTGCATAATCTTTCAATGTTTACAGCGCTTCCCGTGAACAAACTTAGAAAGCGTATTCAGCTTATGTGGTGAAATGAAGGGGTTTTAGTTGTACTAGTGGTAATTTCATGGGCATTTGCGATGCTGCATACGTGTTAAACCTACGAAAAATGTTTACTGACGGTTAGTAGTTATACACTTCTGAAGATTATATACAATGAAGACTATAGTTTAATGGTCTTGCAACAGTTTAGTGCATGATACAAAGTGAATAGCCCACATATTTGACGGTGAGAATAGAAACACTTCAGCATTAAGGACACTGACGCCTATAATACGATGATGAAACTTTGAAATCTCATTGGCTATTTAGCATAACGTGTGCTTCAGTATTGTAAAGTATTGTAAAATTCACCCCTCATTCGTTAACTGGAAATAGATGAAGGCTGCTGTAAAATCGTTAAACTAAAACTGGCTTCTTCACTATGCTTTGTGTATGGGTCATAAACCCTAATAATAAATGCCTTCTAAAGTACTAATTAATTTGTTTGCCTTTATTAGTTGTGATCGAGGTAATAGTTGCACAGTGATAAACATTGGTCGATTGTTGATGGTACAGCTTTTAATTTCCTATTGTTGATTACATGGAGTTGATTGGCCACAATTAATTTGCGAGACTGCTTTGTGTACGCCTGGATACTGCTGATAATTTTAGTTAGATAGTAGTGATGGGTAATAGATGTTAGTTCAATCCAAGGCTAAGGTCTTGTCTGCTGCAAAAGGAGTAGCTATTGCTAACCAGTAGGCCGTGGCATTTGAAGTGACGGATTCTGGCTTGCAGTCCTGCCGGAAACAAAATCACTCATCTAGAAAACAGTCCATCTAACTAATGAGTCCTTAATATGGTGTGAAGTAAATTGTGAATTAAACTGCTAACCACTATTCATCCATCATTCTTTCTATATAAGTAACAAGCCTAAGCTGTATGCTTAAAAGTTACAATTATTTTATTTGCAAATTGTTCCCTGTTTGACCATTCTTTGTCATAATGACTAGAATTTTATTTTCCGTTAAAAGGAGCTAAAACTTATGCTATCAGAAACGTTTTGTATCTGTGTCAAAAAGTGACTTTTCAAAGTCTTCTTAATACTGATAAATTGAAGTGAAGTTTACCAAGATTGTACTGGTGACAATTTATGCATATTTCAGGAAATTGTTATATGAACTTACCAAGTCACAAAGTAGTGATTTACTTAAAGTTCACTGCAAAAAGTGAATGAACTAAACGGACTCACAAGTATTTGTTGTTCTTTGAAACACAGAAAGACAAGTATTAACAGGATGTCACTAGTTTCACAAAAAAATAATCAGAATTTTACTTTTCCTTTGTTTAATATAATTAAGTAAATTTGCAGTGATGAACAAATTATTTTTATTTAGGTGAGAAAATTATTTGTTAACAATAGTTTTACACTTATGCATTCTATTGTATCTAGAAAACAACTTACTTCACTCATAATAATGCCTCATGTCTTTAAGAAGCCATTGGAACTAAAATTATCAAGTGTACTGCTTTCTATATTTCCAAGTAATTTATACTGTCTAAGAAAAAGAAATCGGTCATTTGTACAATTATTCTAGATATACTGATAAAATGAATAAATATTGATACAGTTCTTACGTGATTGGTCGAATTATCTACTAAATTATCCAACATTTCTAGGTGTTTATTTTTTTGATGATACCTTCTTTAGAAGAAAACTGTTTTTAATCCATTTTCTGGCTATCCTACTTTTTAAAAAGCAATTCATTGTTTGTCATTATTACTATTATTATATTTGTGTTAATTTAACACTTATATGCATAAGTGGTTAATCAGTGTTACTTGTATTAGTTTTAGTTCAACTTCACAATCATGATTATTATTTTCTTCGTACAGACCACTTCATAATTTTTTATCGGTGTAAAAATATGTGAGTAACGGATAGAAAATTCAGTAAATGCTACAACAGTTGTTCAAAACTCATCAAATTGTCATAATCGTAGGAAAGAATATGTGATTTTAACGATGGCGAAGAGTTTCATTGAAAAAATACAGATTAGTATTACAGTTATCTAGGAAAACAAATAACTTTTCATTTATTTTATCACGCTTTCATTTTTTTAACTAGTCTTTCATATTTAGGAGGCATAAGAAGAGAGAGAAAGCATTCTTAGTTGCTTTTATCGAATTAGATAGTTAAAAACAACAGAAATAGAGGTGACAATGAGTGACACTTTATTGACCAACAATCCATAATATCGGAGCAGAGGAAATGTAACGATATTTTACAGATTAACTTACCTATATTTTTTAAGTAAACCCAAGTTTACGCCTCTTAGAATCTCCTTGTCTGACGCTTATTACGTATTTTCACAAACAGTGAAAGTGTCGGACAATAAGTATGGCTCCTGAATGCTCCTAAGCTCAAATATAGTCAGAAATATTTGAGGCTTATCTTCATATACGGGAAGCAAACGATCTGCAGTTTTTTTATTGCATCGGAATTGTTAGAAATTCTACTCTTTTTCGGGATTTCTATCTGCACTTTCTGTCCGGAAAACATGAATGTTATTAACATACGTTGTGAGAGGAATCTCACGAGAATCAGCTCACATTTTCCAGGCAAATATCTAAATCTGTCATTGAATTATTGTTTATTTACTTATAGAAAATACTTATGACTGCTTACAATTTAAGTCAACTTGATTAATGCTTTTCCCAAATACTAAATTAGTGGCAAGCGTATATAAAATTAAAAGCAATTTTGCTGTAAAATTTCCTGACCTCAATATAGCTATCTTGTATAAAACCGGATGCAATAAAAAATGTCATTAATTGTGTTCTTACCTTAAAATGCTGTCACTTTAAGAAAGTGACAGAAAAAATATGCTTACTTTTACGATAAAATATTGAAAAAGCATTTGGAAATCGGTTCGACTGACAAATTCCGATCTCTAAAGTATTTATGCTTTGTGACACATATTCCACTGAATTATAAGTGTGACAAGGGAAAGAAATAGCCACATAAAGACATTTTATTACATTTGGTGTCGAAATAACCTCGTTTATAATTACTCAGAATGAATTTATCAGGTACTGGATTTATTCATTACATTGTCTTCATTCGCATAAACTGATGCTTAAACTATCTCATTGCTCCAAATTTACTCAGAGAGTTTCTCAACCACTGAGATCTCTGGGAAATGGATCTGACTAACCACGTTTGTCTAATATAATAAAACCTATGAAATTGCAGTTTTCGAGAACTTTGAACCAGAATAAGGTTCCTTTGCATGAATTCAACATATTGGATGATTAGGTCTCGTGAAGATAACTCCTATATATGCTGAAGGATAAAACAGGTCACCTTATCCCATTCAAACTATTTTGAAAGCTTGATAATAAGAATTCAGGAAAACTTCGGTGTTGAATATCTACATTCTTCTTCGATACTATGTCTGCGTAGATGATTATGAGGCTAGCAAAAAACATTTTATTACTGGGACTTAGTAACTTCGGAGAAAAACTTTGGAGATTTCCTTCGAAAGTTGATGCAACTTTTTTTGATCCGGTCATCATACTTATGTTTTCATTGAGGGATTTCTGTCGTAGCATTCTCTTCATAGAACTATTGGTGATGTGTCAACAAAAGTAAATTTTGTTTTGTTCACCACCCGGAAATATCAACAACAAGACGTTTAATTCACCCAAATCATCCCCTTTTCCGAACTCGACATTATTTGTTAAAGGGGGAACTACCGACTGAAATAACATTAAGCTCGCGATACTTTAAAGTTGTTCTAATAAAGAAAATAATTACTGTTATTACGATTCACCTCGCTCTAGTTTCTAAAAGGTTAGTAAATGAATGCAGAAACGTGAGACTACAAAAACGGAAATCTCACCACATAGTTACCAGTTCAAAGTAGTGTCCAAAGTGATAGCTACTAAAGTTTTTCAATGAATAACTACAATTCATAGTAATGATGGACAGTGGCTAGTAGTGGAATCCAGAATGTGCATTTCTTACTATTTGGGACTCATCAGCTGGATGCACCCGCCTCCCAGTGAATGACTTTGTTCCCACCAAGACCCGGACCCAGGAGCGATTGCTCCAAAAGCCAGAGCGTTATCCACTACATCACCGAGCCACGATAGCCACTTCTTGTGCAAAATTTCCCTGGAATAAAAACCGGTATCCGCAACAAGTTAGGATAATACACTTGATAACCAATGAAGAAGTGCATTTTTTGTTAGGAGTAAATACTTTAATGCTTGTGTCTTGGTAAAAAAGTCAAAAATAGATTTTGGTTTCATCAAGTTTTATATAAAAGTATATTTCAACAAAGTCTATACACTAGGATCAAAGTACAAAGTTTTTCATTACAAAGCTAATTTATTTCCATTATTTGATTCTTGGCAGGAAACATTCAGAACTCCGTATTGAACAGGTTATATCAAGTGATAGTGGAAATTATTCATGTCGTGGAGAAAGTCACCTCAGTCAAATTAGTAAATGGGTATTTGTTTCAGGTAGGTATTCTTTTAAAGTATGTTATGTGATATACTTGCTTCACGGTTGATTACTTTTTTTCACTAAGAAGAATGAGCTAATAGGATTCTGCTTTTAGTTCTGAAACCTCCACGCCGACGTTTTTGAGCTCATTAAAGGTTTCTCAAGTAACTTGTTGTATATAAAGCCTTCACAAGAAACATTTAAGCCACGGATCTTTGATTCACCTAACTGAAATCTTACTATAGATAATGGAGAATGGTTGACCTGAAATCTATGACTTTTTTCTAAAGTTAGTGAAATAGCTGCTCTTCTGTCTGCACTTATTTAGAGTGTGATTGTCAGTCCAACAGTCAGATTAGTTTGGATTATTAAGATTAAGATCACTAAGGTCATCTAAACTGTTTTGACATATATAGTATCTAATATGATTCTTTTAATTTATCAATCTCAAATGTGTAAATAAAGTTAGGATAATTAAACGCTGTTACATATCATAGAAAATATGCTTTTATTGAGAAATTCTTGGTACGCTTTTTATGTGCCTTTTCAGTGTGCATAAATGTTACGCGATCTACAGTATAGCATGCTTTATTAGTAAACGCTAAATATTGCTGTACTTTTAGTTTCATGACAATTAAAGTAAATTAAGGCTAATAATCACCAGCAAGTGACGACAGAAAGTTTTTTAACTTCAGAAAGCGTATAGGGAAGTAGTGTTTCTACTCACCAGTTCTGATAATTATCACTTCATAGAATAGGTGGAAACGGTTTAAGGTAAATACGTAAGCTAATGACACTTTATTATATCTTCTACAGAAATGACAACCGAGTGATTTTGAATCATAATTAGTGATGATTTGAATTTCAAAGTATAACAAAAGTGAGATCTTATTTCAAAGAACATTTAGATAAAATTTCGGAATATCGAGTCATAAGCCCTTATTTTTTATAATTCAACATAAACATTTGATAAATATAATTTAAATGTTTGTGTTCAACCGGAAGATTTATACCTGTATGCAATTTACTGCGTGTTTTTTATTTTGGCTAGGATTAATGGACTTTTAAAAAAATGGTTTTACATTAAGTCCGTTAGAGAAATGCATACATTTCAGCAGTAATAATATATATATTTTAAATGTATATATATATATATATGTATATGAAAGTGGTATAGTGATTTGAAAATCCATCATATTTTACATATAAAGCGAATTTGATTAATCAGTGGGTCTCGAAAGCTTGGGAAAATGAATAATTTATTGGTAATATACATTATTATATATCCTTTTTTTAAAATACCTTATCCTACTTCTCATAAAATAATGACCTTTTTTAATTTTACTTTTTCATCCACCCATTTGAACATCTCTTCAGTTTATTCAGCATGTCCAGTGAATGTTTGCAATATAGGAACATGCTTCGTTATCAATAATAATTCACTTTGTAGGTAGGTGGATTTATTAACATGATTTTGGAATAAATTTTATTTTAATTTCTCAATTTTATTCCTTTTTAAAATTTACTTATTATGTTAAGCGATTGCGTCATGATATTGTAGAAAGGTATAAAACAAACAAGATTACATTACTTATCATAAGAGAACCATAGCCTGGAAAATGAAGCTGAGCTAACCCATTTTGACGCAATTATTTTCATGACAAGAAAATTATGAATGATGCCTTAAAATGTCAAAAGTATTAAACTTCTCTCAAGAATATTTTATTGGAAGCAATAGAAATCTCAGGTTCCATAATTTTCCTTTAGTTACGTGAAAATAATTTTTTTCTCTGCCTAGTTGAATATTACAACTGAGTAAAACCATCAAAATTAGTATGCATTAGTCTAGTACATTTATACTACTTTTAAATCTTTACGGCATTACCTCAGGTAATAAGTTATCAGAAAATAAACCTTGCTATTCTGATTCTTATAGGGTAGCTATTATTTTGACATAATGACTGGGCAGTAGTTCCGTCATACCAGAATGGTCTGTTCGGTTATGGAGAGACAAGGACCAGTTACAATCTTAGAGTAAGTAGCTATGTTATAATAAGGGTGAGATATCGAAGTTATACTGGTGGCTGGTTGGAGTGTGTCAGCAATAATGTGTTTCTCAAAGATGACTAGCGGGCCATAGCGATGCTGTCTTTTAGATGCTGTCTATTAGAACGAAGGTATGTAAGAAACTCCTCCGTGCTCCATGGTTTAGTGAATTCAAACTAAAAACTTCGGAGAAAGTCATGTGATTGACCTCAGAAAGATGCCCTTTGGCCACCGTGGTCACACAAAATCTGTCCCACTTCACCTTCGCTTATCAAGCAGGAATAAATTCTATATTGCAGACGGCCACATCCTCCCAACCTCCCATACGCTACCAGCAGCTGACAAAACTCAACTGATCAGAAGTTTCTTTCCTCACTTCCCCACTATCATTTCCTGAAACTACCTATGAGCTTCCTATTGTTTCGTCAAATTCTCATTCTCTCACCTACTTCGATGAAAGAAATAGGCTAATTATCATCACAAGTCCCCAAAAATACACATCAAGTTTCCTGTTGGAGTTTACAACTTCGGAAACATACAAAATCAGACAGCCTACTTCTGTTCCAGAAAACCTGGAGTCTTAAGCTATGGATGAAAACCGTCATTCGGAGAAACGTAAGGTGTGTTCATGTGTGGTTGTTCACCTCAACAGATTTGATCATTTGTGGAATCTGCAAAACCCTTTTTTGATACTTCTGACGAAGGATGACCTTACTGAATACCAGTCTGATGGGGTTATCAAAGTAGACAGGGGTTATCTATAGCTTCTTTTTGAACAGATATATCAGGGGTGAGGCATTTGGCTACGCCTCCAGAAAACTTTGGGAAAATTGAGCCTGTTTTTTGTTTATTATCTCAAAGGAATCACAGACGTGTGCCTGACACCCAACGTGAATGAGATGAAGAGTGTTCATATTATCCTAAGCGTGTTACTTTCCCTTCGTCATAAGATCTTTGGAGGGCGTCTAGAAAATCTAAAAAACACCCTTTTCTCCGTCCTTCTGAAGTATCTACCTCGTTAGTTACACGTAAAATGATATACACAGTTAGAGGTAACACAGGAAGGGTACCTGTCAACTTGTACCTGGACTAGAGGGCACATTGTTTGATACACAGGAGTCAATCTCATTGCCGAGAAGGCCCTACTAGTTGATGTCCTCAGGGGTTCGTCAACAGATCCTGCAACATCATATCCTTTGAAACCAAGAGAAATAAACACAGGCTTTCAGCAGATTGTACTTTTTTTCAGCAGTGTATTTCCCATTTTTCTACTTCTCCTGGTTAATGCTTGTTGACATTCATTGTCCTATGGACGTCTTCCATTTATTCGTAACTCTTCCATTACTGTGTCGCTGAAAAATATCGTTTTATGTAATTGAACTGGGGTCCTAACCAATCCCCGTTTGCAGTTAATAGGACCGAAGTTGTTAAAACTTGGGTATACGTTATTGCATTTAGACGAATGGACTTTTGGAGCGAACCATCTAGCATATGTTGTAAGGTGACATTCAGAAAACTGAGCGTTTTACCATTTTTGTATTTCATAGTAAATTCAATGTTTCTAAGATCGTTCTTGAAACCTTCTAACTCATGAAAAGTATGGAATAAATGATTGTAAGCAATACAAACGTCGCTGACGTGCCCATTGTAAAAAAGCACTTAACTGATTGGATCCTAAGGTTTTGAATGTAGTTCTCGCTCTTTTTAAATTCATGAAATGAAGACCTTGAATGAAATGGCCATAATAGTTGACGAAGTTAACGCTGAAGAAGGGAAGTTAAGTCAGTTGGAAGGGGATATTTAAGGTTTCTATAGCATCCCATGCCAACAAATTGACAGTCTTGACCATCTGTAGCAACATTTTCTGAGACTCACTAATTTCTGGCCAACATTAACACCGAGCGTAAGAACAGATACTGTTTTGCTTGGTGTCTGCTGACATCGAAGGAATTACGTATGTAGATATATCACACTGCTGCGACTCATCGTTGGAGGATAACCAATGTTTCCAGAGTATCTGTTTGGACATCGATCACGCGGTAATACTAGTAAGTGTGTGTTTTTCACCTTAACGGTAGTAAGGAAACTTGCATGTGCTTGATTGGAAAGTGAGAATACCAAGTCCCCACATGGGAAGGAGATTGCTAAGCATTTGTCTAAACATGGCAGCAACTGTTATTCCGATGAAGTCTGATGTGATATCTAGTGTTCTATAGAAATGGTGGTCAGGACGGTTAGAAGTTATCATCGAGGAATTAGCAGGAGCCAATAAATTTCCGCTTTATTATATGAACTGACAGGCAAGATAAAACTTATAATGGGAAGCGAAAACAGCCTAAGCGTAAATTTGTTCTAATATACCACGCCGGGATTACACAAGTAAAAATACATCCTATACAATGAATAGTTCAACTAGTTTGCAGTCACGGTTTAGTTGCTCAGCATACAGTAGGAACTTGAATCGGTCATTGATATATGTCCCACAACTTTTTTGATGTTGACAAAGTTGCTTCAAACCTCAACAGATGCAATGCAGCACTGCTCGATGGTTTACCACAGAAAGATTTTTAGCATGGAGATGAAAAGTAGTGAGTAGTGTAACAAAAGTACCAACCTTTCTAGTCACAAGTGTATTTGTAGCACTGCGATCATTTTGTAGAATCTGTGTGTGGGCAACGTCTAGTTTAGGTTCAGTTTGCTATATAGAGAAGGTATATAGGTCCTTGAGGTTATAAACCCTAACCTTTTAAGGTGGATTAGACATGCAATGCTCATAATGAGCTCCTGATCGCCTAAATGTGCAATATTAACTGAAGAAGTACTGGTTTGGAAGAAAGATAAGAGCGACCGGATTAATAAGTGGTTCAAACTTATGTATTCTCTCATTGCTGATCTGAGACATATCAGATGTTGACTGTTTAGTAGTTAGTGTTTAGAAACTGTTGATGAAATTTACTCTTTGACATCTTCGAAAGCTTGGACATTTGCATTTTCTTTCTTTTGCCTGCACTGTCTGTTCGTGCAATGTGGGTTACCTCAGAATCACTACTTTTTCTATCTGTACGCTTATTTAGTCGCTGATGCGAAGCAAGGCAACTCAGACCGATACACCTTTATGTGAGTGTCCCTACTGATTTGCGTGTTATTCAGCTTTTCTGGGTGTAAGTGGACTGAAGAAGTATAGATTTGTTTTCTGAAACTCAAAGAACATACTGAGATTGCTGCTTGTTATCAGCATTAATTAGAAAGTATTTCACTCATGGTGGAGAAATATTTTTCTGCAACTGATGACGATCCATAATGAATGTCAACCTAAAATCAAGAAATAAATTTCCACAAACTTTCAAGTTAAACAAAGTAAATAAACAAACAGAAAGAGTAGTGATGGAATCTCTAATATCCATGATCGAAATGGACATAGTTATGAGCAGTCGGGAAAAATGTCAATGAGAACAACGCAACCCAGGTGAAGAGGGAGGTTCGGGCATACAGCTGGCAACCCTACCCCGTAAAACAAATCCAACCACTAAACAAACTTCGAAGCACAAATAAAATATTTAAAAAAATTATTCCTCGCTGGAATCGGAGAGGAGAAATGACGCTGGTTGGTGAAAGACTTCGGGAAGCCAATTGACCGATCTGTCTTCTCTTCACTCGATGAAAGCGAAAGTAAACATGGGGACATGGAATGTCTGCACAATGTTTGAACCCAGCAAGGCTGCCCAGATTACAAACGAGATGAGAAGGTATCACATTGGAGTGTTAGAAACTTGCGAAAGCGGATGGAATTAGAGTGGATTCTCCAAACTGTCAACTTAAGAATCAATAATCCACTCAGATACTGTCACCAACACGACAAACACGAGCACACTGAGTTCTGGAGTGGCTATCACGATGTCGCCAACAGCATCGAAGGCTCTCATGCAGTGAGAACCAATCTCCTCCTCCAGGATCATGACAGCAAGGTTCAACTCAGAAGGAAGGAAGGTCACAATCATACAATGCTACGCTACGCACCTACAAATAATGCAGAGCAAGAGAAGAAGGAAGAATTCTACAGATAACTACAATCAACACTGGAGAAGACCTCAGTTGGCGATATCAAAATTCTAATGGGCGATATGAATGCCAAACTGGGAGGGGACAACATAGGAAGAGAACTAACCATGGGTCGAGAAGCACTCAGTGAGGTGATGAACGAGAATGGAAAATAGTTTGCAGAATTCTGCGCATTCAACGGTTCGGTGATTGGAGGCAGTGTGTTCAAGCACAAGGATATCCACAAAGCGACACAAGGTCAAGAATAGGAGCAGATGTAAGATCAGACCATTATCTAGCGCAAGGAATCAGGTTGCAAGCCTTCAAGGAAGCTGGTGATAGACCACAGTTCAAGCACAACACCCA